CGAACCGTGAGATCATGACCTGAGCTGAAGTCAGATGCTTATCCGAGCCCCCCGGGTGCCCCTCATCCTTTTCAATATGACAGTTTTCCAGGTAGATTGAGGTAGATCTTTCACATGTAAGATAGCTAGAAAAACAAAAATGGGTGAAAGTGAGTAAAAATCTCACTTAGAAATAAAAGCATGCACAGACTTACTTGAACATACTTCTCTATGGCAGCTGGTATGATATCCTAAAATAAGCTTTCATTTTTAATGAAATAATGTTTTTTTCCTAAAAGGCCTAATACCATTTAATATGGCACATGGGGCAGTGTTTCCAAGATTACTGTTCACAAGGCCTGTTAAATATCGATAGTGGCAAGAAACCCCAGAGCTTCTTGGTTTAGGTTAACCTCCGTTCTTTTCTCAGGCTTTTATTTTACTCAGAAAGGAGATAAATTGGAGACGGCGAGAAACTTAAAACCATATACAAGATCATCTGGAAAATATAAAAACAGTGTTTGTGGCAAACTCTAAAACGCATGTGAAAACTCTACACATAAATCAGTGGCGGAAAGTGGCAAATTCAAAAGTACACATGAAAAATTCCCCGTCATGGGAAATAATGATAGTTGTACCATATTGCCTTTATGAGTTTGTAGTATATAATGACTGTGGCTGAAGTCTTTAAGTGATTAAAAAAAAAAATCCTAGCGGAGCTTATATTTCTAAGGTTCTAATTTTGTTTATTTTCTTTTGGTGTTGATCCTGAATAGATTATTCTGCAGCTATATATAAAAAAGAAATATAGCTCTCCGGAAAAGCATTGATTTTTAAAATCTAATTTTTAGTGACTCATGCTTCAAAATTACACTGATTTTTATGAACAAATCAGAGTCTGGCTATTTTTTTTGAAACTCGGGCAAAATTAAGCAGGTCTAAGAAACGTATTTTTTCTCTTACACATATGAGTAGATAGAAACACGTTGAAAATTTGGATTCTTTTTTTTAACCTCCCCCTTCACTCCTTCCTCTGGGGTATAATCGAAGGGTTTGGATTACTACTATGTTCGTTAAATTTGTTTTCTGATAAACTGATCATCATCATTTGGAAATACTTATGCCTAGGATATGTTAGCAACCCCGACATATCTCTTTGAGGGCATTTGAAAATGATCTCTTTAAGGGCATTACAGTGTATAGATTATGACTATTACATTCTAATTTTAACAGGTATGTTCATTATATTTTATGTAATTAAAGACATTTTCTTTTGGATTTCATTTTAGAGACGGTCATGCAGTTCCTTGAGAAGCTATCAGAAAAACTTTCTGAAAGGTTAGTTTTTGTACTACTCTTCAGATGTGTATCATGTAGGTTTTTCTTTTTCATTTTTTTAAAATTCATTTTATTCATTTTTGAGAGACAGGGCGTACGCAGGAGAGGGGCAGAGAGAGAGAGACACAGACAGAATCTGAAGCAGGCTCCAGGCTCTGAGCTGTCGGCAGAGAGCCTGATGTGGGGCTCGAACCCATGAACTGTGAGATCGTGACCTGCGCCAAAGTCAGACGCTTAACTGACTGAGCCACCCAGGCGCCTTTATATAAATTTATAAAAAATTTGAAGGTGACCTATTAAGAATGTAAGTGTGGGAATATCGAGTCAGATCTATGGCCCGAGTCGGGAGATTGGATTAACGATGAGGAATACTTTGAAAGCACATAGCTGTCTTCCCAAGGTGACAGTCTTGAAAACTTAGGCTGTCCCCTCTGATTAACCAGTTCATTGTCTTAGGAACCCATCATTGATGTGCAATTAAAAAATGTTTCCCAAACCTTTTTGGAACTAGATATTTTCGACTCCTGCCACCAATTTTACAAGCTCATAAAGTCGTGTTTCTCTTCTTTTGGCCTAAATGTACATGGCTCATGGATGTGGTAGATTGAGCTGTGTTTTTGGTCTTAAGAATGATCTGCCTCCCCATTTGAGTTCCTTTGTTGTGGCCCTGCCTTCCATTCTTGATCGTGTCACTTGTCCTTTGCCGGTGCTTCTCTCGTGCTTTGTTGAGAGGCCACACTCCGGCAGCCTTCAGAGACCGACGGTTCCAGAAGGAGGCATGTCACGGCTGCCTTATTATGCTGCCTGGAATTTCCTTTGCCTTTTGACCACCAGCACGTTGAATTTATCTCAGATTTCCATTTTCTATTATTATAAATTCACTCCTTAGCACCCAGTCCTCTCTAACTTGGATTATATTTTAAATTCTAAAATTTTCTTTTAATCTAGTGAATCACTGTGGCTTTGATAGAATGAAAAGGAAGTATTAATTATGCGGTTAGTTGAGAATATACTCTGCTTTATTAGGAAAGTGTTAGTATTCTTTCTTCCCTTCTCTGTAGCTATAGATTGTATTTTGAGCAAACATATCTTCAGATTTTTATGGATATATATGTAGGTGTTAATTCTAACAGAAACTTCATATTCTATAATTTTAAGCACATATTTGATTATTGCCCAGCTAGAGTTTTCTTTGGGGAAAAAATATGAATGGAAATCTTAAATATAATCTCTGTTCATGTTTTTTCTTGTAGAAAGTTATTTGTTAGTCTCTTACCTTCTTAATTTTTTTTTTTTTCAACGTTTATTTATTTTTGGGACAGAGAGAGACAGAGCATGAACGGGGGAGGGGCAGAGAGAGAGGGAGACACAGAATCGGAAACAGGCTCCAGGCTCTGAGCCGTCAGCCCAGAGCCTGACGCGGGGCTCGAACTCACGGACCGCGAGATCGTGACCTGGCTGAAGCCGGACGCTTAACCGACTGCGCCACCCAGGCGCCCCTGTTACCTTCTTAATGTGTAGCAAAAAGCAGTTATTTTAAGTTTTCTGGTGAATACGTTGCATGTTTGTGTAACATTGCTCATTTTCCCAGGCTTTAATACTATCAAAACCTTTATCTGTCTGCTAGGATGTTTTTAAGGTAGAAATGGCAGTAATTTACTAATGATATATTGACATCCCTTTTAACACAGGTAAAATGTGGATTAATTTTACACTTACATTTGCACTACAAATGACTTCTGATTTTATCATGAATATCGGAAAGGTACATAAACAAAATTATTAATGTAATTATTAAAATTTTGTCCTAATAAACTTGTTTTACAGAACTATAAGAGACTTTGAGATGATACGAGGGATGAAAATGAAACTAAATCCTCAAAATTCTGTAAGTGACACTTTTATATATTTTTTTTAATGTTTATTTTTTGAGGGAGAGAGAGAGACAGAGCATGAGCAGGGAAGGGGCAGAGAGGGAGACACAGAATCCGAAGCAGGCTCCAGGCTCCGAGCTGTCAGCACGGAGCCTGATGCAGTGCTCAAACTCACGAACCGTGAGATCGTGACCTAAGGTCCAGTCGGACGCTTAACTGACTGATCAACCCAGGCACCGCGGAATATTTTTATTATAATGTAAACAATCTATCAGCTGGGGTCCTTATCTTTTGACTCTAGAACTTTCTTGTTATATGCTGAAGGTACATATAGTCTTGTTTGTTATCCCTGGACTTGGTTCTGATTCTTGGGTTTGGTGAATAAAAGTATTGAAATACTTGATCCATACGTCTGAATCTGACATTTCTCGGCAATCCAGTATTTTTGTTGGTTAGTTGATAGAAGACACACACACACACACACACACTCATACATGTACACACACCTATAAACGTATATTAACTATGTATGTTCATATATACTCGTGTGAAGGCTGCTTCTATTCTACGGAAAGTGGGCTTCTCCGTTTGAAGCAGCCTTTAAGGAAGCTCAGTGGAGGACTGATCTGGCAGGTGGCAATTTAACCATCAGTGTTAACATTACAGTTTACTTTTTTATTTGCTAACTTATGGAGCTCAATTAAATAGATCGATGCGGACTTCAAAGGATACCCCATCTTAAAACACTTAGGTGGTGTTTTCAATCATAAGATTAAACGATTGCATGATCTTATAGTACAGACTTAAGTGTCTTTATGTCCAGAAGGATGCCCAAGTGGTGGTGTGCCCCCAAAAGTGATGGGATTCCAGGTGTTAGGACCCTCGCTCTCATTTGGTTCAAGGGCGTTTACTGGGTTTCTGGTTGTCTGCCTTATTCTCTTATAGGTCCTGTTGTTGGCAGTTCTTGATTTTGGTGCTGGCCGCTAGAGCCAAAGTCCTAGAGAACATCTAGGGGAAATGAGCCTTGCAGATTTAGAAACTATTTTCCAGTTTCTCAGATACAGCCACTAAGAAATAGATTAATCCTACCAAATTCACCAGTTTCAAGAGTAGCGTCTCAGTTTGTTAATTTATGGTAGGAGCTGTCTAGCAAAGTAACTAGGGTCAGTCATCTGCAACTTTGGCTTGGTAGGTAGATCCACTTAGGAAGCTAGGTATAGGCCAGAATTTATTTTGGTGAATATAGAAATAGAAAAGATAAAATACGTTGTCAGAAGCTCCTTTATTATAAGCTAATATGAAACTATCCTCTCTAGACATTTGGTATACAGGTGATTCTCTAGATATTTGTGAAATGCCTGATCCTCGTCGTGAACAGTACCACGCTTCACCCTGCAACCCTGGCCAGAACCTGGATTTGCTCCAGGCCAGTAGTTCCCAAAGTGTGTTCCCTGGACCAGAAGCAGCAGCAGCATCTGGAACTTGTTAGAAATACAAACTCTCCAGTCCCACATGAGACGTGCTGTATCTCTAGCCCTACACTCCTGTTCCAACAAGCCCTTCGGGTTATTTATCTCTTTCCCCTCTCTGCCCACATATAATCATTTACCAAATCCTGTGGATTCTACCTTCCACAGAACTCTGTTCTCTCCTCTCCACGCCCATTGCCACAGTTCTGGTTGAGGTCATTCTTACTTCTCACCCAGACCATAGTTGTAGTTGCTGAACTACTTTTCTAGCCTTTGGTTCTGGTTCCTGATTTGGACTGCTTAGCAATGTGCTAAGTGTGAGACATAGGGTAGGTACTCAACACTTACTTGAAATATGAATGAATGAATGAATGACTTGCCATTAGAGGGATTTTGCCAAAAAGCAGATCTGACCTCGTCACTCTCTTGTTTAAGATTTTTCTGTAGTTTTCTGTAATTCTCAGATTCACCTTCCTATTCCTTTTTTTTTTTTAATTTTTTTGAATGTTTATTTATTTTTGAGAGAGAGACAGAGCCAGGGAGAAGCAGAGAGAGAGAGAGAGAGAGAGAGAATGAATCTGAAACAGGCTCCAGGCTCTGAGCTGTCAGCACCGACTGAGCCACCCAGACGCCCCTCCTATTCCTTTTTTTAATGTTTATTTACTTTCGAGAGAGAGAGAGAGAGAGAGACAGTGAGGAGGGTGGGGAAGAGAGGGTGGGGGGAATCTCCAGTAGGTTCCACACCGTCAGCGCAGAGCTTGAAATCACGAATCACAGGATCATGACCTTAGCTGAAATCAAGAGTCAGATGCTTAGCTGACTCCGGGAAGACTTCTCGTGTAAGAAGACACTTGAGCAGAGCCTTGGGAGAAACGAGGCAGTACCCCGCACATGTCACGTTAGGGCAGAGCCTTCTCAGCAGAGAGAGCAGCTGCCCGTTGTGCTTGGAAAACGGGGAGGAGACCAGTGCAGTGAGGGAGGGCAAGAGTCGCAGGAGGCAGGCTCAGGGTTCAGGGCGGTGCAATCAGGTCATGTAGAAGGGAGATGGGAAAGCATTGGGGAGCAGAAATAACTCTTCCAGGGGCACCTTGGGTGGCTTAGTCGGTTGAGCGTCCGACTTCGGCTCAGGTCATGATCTCGCGGTCCGTGAGTTCGAGCCCCGCGTCGGGCTCTGTGCTGACAGCTCGGAGCCTGGAGCCTGCTTCGGATTCTGTGTCTCCCTCTCTCTCTCTGCCCCTCCCCTGCTTGCGTGCTGTCTCTCTCTCTCTCTCAAAAATAAATAAACATTTAAGAAATGACTCTTCCAACATTGTGCAGTAATGTGGATTGAACACTTGAGCCCAGGCAGTCTGACTTCACAGCCTGGGCCGTTAGTCACTCCTGTCACCTGGACAGTTTGTGGGGAGGATGATCTTCCAGGGATTCAGGCTTTTTTCCCTGTCAGTATTCTGTACCAGTTGTCAAAACCAACTATTAGGACAATGCTTCTTTATGACATATTTTCTTTGCCACGATTAGAGTTAATTCTCCCTTCGTTACACTTGAAATTGTTGCTTTCATTTTGGGGATCCACCCTAAGCTTCCTGCTTAGATTTAGAAAGAACTCTAATCTTACCTTTAGAGCCCTAATCTTACCTGCAGTGTGTTTTATGGATAAATACGTGGGTTACATGGTGGGAAAAATTTCAACATGGCTAATTTAATCTATTAATGTTGATTTTTATAAGTTGACATTGTACATTATTTACTTTCCCCCCCAAATTCTGGGACATTGTTTTTTTTATGCCTTTGTACTCATTGATTATAGGGAAGTCAAAATAAAGGGGTGGGCATTTTTAGGGTCTTTAAAAAACTTACCTGATATAATGGTTTACATCTTATAAGCTGGCTAAATTCTTGGTAAAAATTGCGAAGTAGTCAATAATTTTCATAGCAGTGGATTTTTCCATTGTAGGAATTAATGCCTTGGGATCCCCCCTACTACAGCGGTGTGATTCGTGCAGAGAGGTAAGTTGTTTTGTTTTGTTTTGTTTTGTTTTGAGAAATCCTTGTAAATGAGAAGGAAGAAAGAAACTGTTTATTGAGCACTTTGTACAGTAATCGTGCAACGTGAGTAATCTCCTCACTCAGTTGCCCGCATTAGAAGCCCGTATATGCTCAAGTCCGCGCCCTGCCCTGGCCTTTGCCAACATTTGCCCACACATTCTTCGTCTGGTTTAACACCTGTGCTCTCAGCCTTAGTATTGTCTACCCCTCCCCCAAAGCCTATACTTGTATGGCTCGGGTCACTTCCTGGTTTAAAACTTTTAAATATCTCTGTGTGGTGTCTAGAATCTGGCTTCTTCCTGGGAGTAGCTTCCAGGTTTTCTTAGTAAATGGAGTGTTTCGGGGGCTGGAAGTTTGGTTGTCGCTCGTTTCTGGCCCGGGATGGGTGCTTGGCAAATATATGTTGAACTAAGGAAGGAATAGAGTGGTACTGGGGATGGTGACATATGGTTTTCTTAGGTTTCCTCATTTTTATTTGAACATATTGTCAACATATTATTGGCACATCTGGAAGGATACATGTGAAATTAAGATTTAGGACAGTTAACTTGATTTAAGTCCCCCTCTGGTTCCGTAGTCTCCTCTTTGATTATATAATGGCAAACTAGTGGGTATGTTTGTTTTCCCCCCTAAATACACCCTATTTCTGTCATTTTTATATTTGCATGTAAACCCAAGAAATATGGAGGGCTGTTCAAAGTGAACACATCTAAAAACAAAACAAAACGAGAAAACCCAAAAAACAAAGTGAGCACGTTTAGAAATGTTTATGTCCCAAGCAACTTTGTATATGCAATAGGAATTTTTGAAAACCTCCAAATCCTACCCTTCAACAGATTTTTAACATTTTTCTCTTACAGCTCCTTCTTGAGCTGCTCAGCTTTAACCACGAGAGTTAAGATTGATTTAGGTAGTGGACGAAAATAAGTTTTGTGCCTTTTTCTCCATTAAAGCATGTTGGCATACATCATGATAATAGTATACTTAAGTTTCATTGGTATTTAGCTCTAAAGTCTTTCTGTTCCTCTGCATTATTCAAGTCTTACTTACAAAGCAGATTGTCTCCTAATACTTCGTCAGCTACTATTTTTTATACATATATTTCAGACTCAGCACAGGCCTCCTTCTCTGTGGAAGCACATAAGTTGTCATTCAAAATCTGTAATCATTTGATTATGATACACAGTGGGTGCCCAGAATATATTATAGCTTAATGTAGTCATTTCACAGGTGCGTTTTATGGCTGTGGAACTTCAGACCTTGCTCCTTATCGTTACAGAAAACATATCATTTCTCTTCTAAAACTTTTTCAAAGAGAGATTTGGTTTGGTTATTTGTAAGGGAACACTAATTTTTTTTTATTAATGCTTTCCATATCTATATAAGATTTTTAAAATTTTTTGTTCGTGGAAAGTGACGTAAATTAGATGTGTTTGTTTCTTCCCGAGTTTTGCTCTGTGATTTTTATTTGTCATTTAGCTTTACTCTTTAAGTGTAGGATGCCCAGATGGTGGTTCTGTGGAAATTACTTGTGACTATTTAAAGACTTGGAAAGACATCATCAATTATAAAGTATAAGCATTAATTAGGAGTAGGAGATCCCTGAGAAGTTTGATAGTAATCTTAAATAAAAGATACTGAATAAAAGGTGGTGACTTTCTCTTCTCCGTTTTTACCGAAAGTACAATATTGCGAAGTCTTTGTGTTGCTGACTGACTCTGGAGTCAGTCCTTAGGGATCTCTGAGCCCGCAGATAGATTGGGAGTTCTCTGTCCTCTGGACTGGCCACAGAGACGGGGGTTACCGTCCACACGGGGCAGTTGTTGAGTGGTAACACCCCAGGCAGCATGGCAGTGTGGTCTGGAGTATGTTCCCTGACGTCTGGGGGGCCTGTGTGAGTCCTGGCTCCACCGCTAATGAGGTATCCGTGAGCTTTGGAAAGAAAGTTCCTCGTCCTCTCTAAGCCTCTCAGCAAGGGTATCTATAAAATGGGGGTTATGACAGTCCCTACTTTGTAGGTCAGGATGAAATGAGATAATGTTGCTATTATGAGTACTAAAATAACCTGATTATATGGAATTGGCCTTCTGGGGACACTCTTCTAGAGGATGATCTGCTCTAAGAGATGCTTTTTACGTGTTCTTTAAAATCTTTCGAAGGAGTGGTCCCTTCCCTCCGAAGTCTCCTCTAAGAAAACACTCGTCTCAAGTGTAATGAATATGTCGAATTAGTTGTAGAATGCTCATCAGACAAGCTTTTAAGGATAGAGAAGGGACACAGGGACAGGGAAGCGCACCTCGCCCCTGCTTCCCAGAGCATCATTCTGTCCAAGGAGGAGGAAACCCTGTGTCTGGCGGGCAGGGCAGCTCACCTCGGGTCGCTTTCCTCTTGAAGGCCACAGCCTCTTGAAGCCTACTGCCTTCAAAATAGAATTGCAGCTGTCATTCATGGCCTCTAGGATCCGTCCGGTCACAGCCCGCTTTTCTTTAACAATGAATACGTGCACACCCACGGTTATTTGCTGGGTATGGCCTGCCCTTCTGGTCTTTCCCACCATTCTCTTCCTTCACAGTTTTCCTCAGCCAGACGAAACCCTGCGTCTCGCACTTAGATCCCTTTGTGTCTCAGACAGAGCCTGTGTCTGGCAGCTAATAGTGTTCCCTTTGCCTTCCTTTGCTGTCTCACTTGTGAAATTTCGCCAAGAGTCCACGACACCTCCGGGTCTGCCACAGCCTCTGTGCCTCCCGTCACCACCATACTTCCCAGCCTCCACGCGGCACCCTTGACCTTTAACGATGTGTTCCTTTGGTCCCCTGTGTTCAACACGTCTTGTCAACCATACCTTAACGCTCTTAAGAACAAAGTTTGTCTTATTTTTTCCATTTGTGGTTACGTGTGAAATAAACACTCTGGACTCTTGACAAATGCATTATTGGCGAATAGCCACTGTTCAAGACTGTGTCCAAAGCGGTACTCGGCAATCCTTATTAAAAGCAATCCAGTTGTAAAGAGAATATCATATCGTATATTCGTGAATGGCTTTTTTCATCCAGCAGATTGGTTGGAAGTGGGTAACCCTCTGGGAGGTCTTCATAGTGCTCATTTGTTGGCAGAAGTTTCCACCGGGCTTATTGGTTCTTAGAGTTAAGAAATCGCCAGCTCTTCCAGGAACACAGTATAACCTACCTGGTCTCCACCAGGGGCTTTACTGAATTTACTTCAAGTGTCCATACTAGGTCATGTGTTGGGCTCTTAACTCCGTTCAAAGAAGCAAGAAAAGGGATGCCGAAATGCTTCAGATGGGATCGTAAGAATCGAGGGATTTAAACATCGATTTTCAGTAGCTTAAAAGACAAATGATTGAGTTTTGGCTTGAGATTTCAGTAATCTTGATTGACAAGAGTAGGCTGGGAGACACAGGTAATGGACGAGAAAAGAAAGCGAAAACAGAATAGTTTGGATTGGAGGTTGGAAGGATGGAATGACGTGAGGACTGCTAAATCCTTGTTAAATTCCTCTGCTTTCAAGTAAAGACTTAAATAAATGTGTGGTTTGACACGAAACAAAAAATAGAAGGCTTTCCTTGGTTTGAGTTTTTCTTCAAGTTAACCCCTGGGACCTTTCTTTTTTTGCTTTTATGTTCAGATTCCTTTCAAGTTTCTTAAATGTTGGCCTAAAGAAAGAACCTATTACAAGTGAGGTGAGAAATTAACGTGTTTTCAAACCACCCAGGGTTGGTCCTGGGAAATAGAGGCATGAGTGACCGATGGAAATCTTAAAGAGCACAGAAAAATCTTAATTTTCTTTTTCAAGTTTTAGTGTTGGAGTCTTCATGGCACAGGAAAAGTCATTCTTTACAATACTTTTTGAAACATTTATTTATTTTTGAGGCAGAGAGAGACAGGGTAAGCAGGGAAGGAGCAGAGAGAGAGGGAGACACAGAATCCGAAGCAGGCTCCAGGCTCCGAGCTGTTAGCACAGAGCCTGACACGAGTCTCGAACCCGTGAACCGCAAGATCATGACCTGAACCCGTCAGACGCACAACCCACTGAGCCATCCAGGCGCCCTGAAAAGTCACTCTTTAAATTATGAGAAGTATATATACAGTTATTTTATTTAAAATTTACATGGGATTTTTGAACAGGCTGTACATTCGTATGGTTCAAAAAGTCACCACAACTTTAAAAAGTACTCACTGAGAAATTTTGGTGTCATACCTGTCCCTGCTCACAGCACTCCCCCTTGCCCCTGTCCCCTAGAGGTAATCATTTTTTTTTTTTTTCAACGTTTATTTATTTTTGGGACAGAGAGAGACAGAGCATGAACGGGGGAGGGGCAGAGAGAGAGGGAGACACAGAATCAGAAACAGGCTCCAGGCTCTGAGCCATCAGCCCAGAGCCCGATGCGGGGCTCGAACTCACGGTCCGCGAGATCGTGACCTGGCTGAAGCCGGACACTTAACCGACTGCGCCACCCAGGCGCCCCTAGAGGTAATCATTTTAAAGTTGTTTCAAGTGTCCTGGCAGTGTTTGATGTCTGTTTTCAATGCTGGTCAACTTTATTTCTCTTCTGCCAACAGTGAGTTTCAGTGAGTATTACTTCATTAATTTTGGTGATATTTTGTAGATATTATTGGGAAGTGGAATTCAGTATTGTCTATTCTTTGCTAAGGGGTATTCTCAAAAGTTCAAGAGCATTCATTCACATAATGAAATAGGAATGTTTTCTGTTTTAAACTCTTCAGGAAACCCTGAACTTTCACAGACAGATGACTCTGTGGTATTTCAAGATAATAAAGATTTGTTTGATGTGTGAAATTGTATAGTTTATTGGCTAGTGTATGTGCAGTGAACTTGGTGCTGTCAGTGTTGAAAACCAGTAACATTTATTATGAAAACTTTCAAAATAAACACAAGTATAAAGAATAACGTAGGTAGGGGCACCTGGGTGGCTCAGTCGG